CTCAAACCTGCTCCAAAGTGGCCATTGTCAGGAAATTTATCAATTAATACTTTTTTTGAAGTGAAGGGGGCAACAATTCGTTAGAGGTTGAGAAACACTGGTGTAATCAAATACTCAAAAAGTAACTGTTAATTTCACTTTTAAATTTAATGGAAATTATTTGAAGCATCCAAGAAAATTGTAGACTGAAACAGACTAGGGTACAAATGTATTTTAACCTTTCAACAGTGGAATAGTCAGGTATGGTGCTACCCCTTAGTAGTGGAGAATAAACGTGCAAAATTTTTACAGTATTTTTCCATGTGTTTTTTCTCATTACTGTTTCAGAAAAAGATTTTGTAAACAGTTATGTCTAGTAAAGAAAAGTCTTTATTGTTACATAATTAATTATGTGAATTTTTTGCAGTAGTTTTTGGCAATTCCCCCAAAAGAATTTGGTATATATACGTCCTTCACCACTGCCACACGATCGCCCTTGACGAATATATTCACTGCTCACTGCTGAGTGATTAAAAAGACAACCAAAATAAACAAATTACATTTTGAAAATCTACTCAACAGTACAAGATGTAGTCACACCAGACAGCATTTCCCACACTAATATTCTTACAGTTCTCACTGTCACTCTCCACTAAAGTTTAAAAGGAACAACATAAAAAAAAATGTCACCAGCAGCTGACCAATGAATGAAACAGAAAACCGGCACATCAAATTCAAAAGTAGACTACATAGTCACAAAGAATAAAAATTAACATTTGTTCTTGTTTGACCTTTTTTTATATTGATTATCATCATGTGTATCATTAATTTGCATATGGTGTGCATAACACGAAAATAACTGCCATATTGATATTGCAGTTCCTTGCACAATAATCTATTGCTAGTGGTTATGGGATATTGCATTTTTTTACAGTAGCCTACCAAATTCTACACAAGCCATCAGTAATGCAATGACCCACTCAAATATCTGGCTATATATACATATAATACATGATTACAATGCACAAATTAAAAATAATATGAAAACTTTTTGAATTACAAACTAGATCTAGAGGATATATTTTAAGCACACACTATCACCATTTCAATGATAAGTCTGAAATAGAGAAACAACCAAAATCTAACTGATGCTAATATTTCTCCTGATCTGAAAGCATTATGTATACATTATGCTTAAAACAATCATTTTCAATTACAGTAAAAAATAAATGCAATATCATGAGCAGACATACATCAACAATAGAGCTTAATTTCTCAAATGTGGCATTGAAATAATGGTGTATTCAAAACACATTGTACTGTCTCTATTATAATTAATGTAACTTGAATTATTATTTTTAGCCTGAATATCATAACAACATAAGACTATATACAATATGTACTATATTATTTATGTTCAAAAATGTAAGTTGCTTTGGTTGTCCTTAAAACCACACTAAAACTCAGGCTTTTTTATACGGTAGTTTCGAAAACTCGGCCTAATGTGAACCGAAGGGTGGCCGAGTTTGTGAAAATGCCGGGTTATTGGGAATGGGGTTTAAAAAGACTAAGTACAAGTGTTTCCTCAGAAAATACAGTACTGTACTTGTATGTATTGTTTGCTTGAGAATACAACAGAGAATAAACTGCCCAAATACCCTTAAACAAAGGAAAAGTACGTCCTTTATGGAGGCATAGAGCCTTTACTACATGAAAATGAAAATTAATGAATACACTGTGTACAGTAATTTACCTGATAAGACAGACCTCAGAAAAATACTTTGAGGCATAAAGCTGTCTATAATGAAAATTAATTAACTAAGGATTTTTTTGCCCTGCCAGGGTATGGCCGAGTTATCCGGACTCCAGGTTATAGTGCTGAGTTTGAGACTACTGTTTTGAAAATCAAACTTTTAAATCCCATACATCACCATAATAATGGAAAACTTACTAAGTGATAGTTCATGTTTTACAGAACTTTTAAGGAATACAATTAATGTATTCCTTCTTAATGTACCCACCAAATTAACTTCATTACGGATGACAGTGTCAATCATAACAAATGAAATTGAAAAACACAGGACCCTATGCCTGAAGAAAAAGTGGAATATACTTGTTCTAATAATAACTCAAAATATATCATTTGGCATTAGGACTGTTCTCTAATACTACAATGATATATACATCCCATCAGGTCTACAGTGTACTTTATCTTATATTCATTCATTGGTCCAAGTAAAAAGCATTTAATCAATATTTGCAATTAATTAGTAGTAATACTTTTTTGACATTTTTAAATCTTTTTATTTTAATTTTATTTTTTAACAACAGAAACAATTTAAATTTTGGGTAAACATTTATGTTAAGGGAGATGCATTTTTTTTTTTAATTTTAAAAAGGAGGCATTTAATAGACATTTGAAATATCATCTTCATATTAAACAGTAAAAAGAAGACATTTGAAAAAACATTTTTAGAATTCATCAATTTTAGTATTATACAATTAATGTATTCATTCTTAATGTACACTTTTATACAAAAAAAATGTAAATTCTAAATGTAGCATTATTTCACAGACATTCCTAATTAAAACTTACCAAAGTATAAAATTTTTGAATATATTCCCACTTTCATTAGACTAAGTAAATCAAAATGGACATTTATTAATCAAATATTTCACGTGTGTCCCTTTTTTTATATTGAACATTCAAATCTAATAGTAAAATATTTTCCTCTAAATTTCATAGAATTGCAAAAATTAGTAGAAAAGGATACATCTATTTTTGACATAATGCAGCAGAGCCACCTTTTCAATTATATTTTACTGTTTAATTATTTAAATTAAATATATTTTTCTTAAATATATTTATTCTAATAAACCGTACAGCTGCAAGATGAAAGTTACAGGCAGTACTCTCTAATAGTAAGTAGTCTTTTGGAGGAAGATAAGGACTTATTCTAAGCTCAAAAATTGTATATTTTATTCAGCAATGAGTGAACTTATTGAGTGTTGCATTCTTGTTAAGGTAATAAGTTAAAAGAAATTATGAAGATTTGTTCCATTAATGGTTACCCTCAAAGTCACATCCAATTCATAATGAATATAAATCATAAATACCCTGTAATAGTTAAGCACAACACATGTTGGACATTTACATTGATAACAGTTCATTAGAATAAAAAAAAAATACAATAACTTACCCAGACATCTATTATATAATCTTAATTTAGATATAGCTTTTGTAATTCGAATAAGATGTAATGACAGCAACAATTATTTAATTAAAATTTCAACTTTTTTAAAATTTCATAATTTAAAAATTAGTTAATCAAATATGAAAATGTTCAATGATGCAATGTATAAAATACTATGTAGATGTATAAATACATTGAATAAATTGCATATTATATAATCATTTAAATTTTGATTATCAAATATTCATCTTTTATGATCAATATTAAATTAGCTGATGTATTGATTTTATAAATTTTTTCATTGCATTAATATAGTAATTTATACATTATTAGGATTTTATATATAATTAACGAATATAAATACACAATCACAAAGTTGCTTTTCAAAATTTGCATGGGGCTAACACATTGTAGAATGCATATGTATGCAAAACAGAAATTACTGATTGCATATATTACAATGTTATGATTAATTTATAATAAAGAACATTTTACATAAGTCAACGTTTTATCACTGCTAATATTTTTCAAGCTACACTATAATAAGCAAATCAAAAATTTTAATCATTTAAGAATTCGAAAATGTTTGTTAGCTCTATGTTCTCACATTCACTAACGTACTTTATAATTAAAAAAAAAAAAAGGAAAATCTGCACAATTTAAAATCAGAACTGCCACAACTCTGTTACACTGTCTGAAACTATCACTAAGTGTCCACATGTAGTTAATAAACACATAGTGTAATTATAATAATGCTCAAAGATTTTCAGTTCAGTCGACAGTTTTGTTCAAAGTAACTTCCGACATGTTTCATGTTCATTGTTCCATAATGAACATGAAAAACAAAATTAATTCTGAAATAAGCGAATGATTTAAAAACAAAATTTTACGAATATTTTTAAAACAAACTAATTATTATAATCTTCATCAAAATTTAAAACATTAAACTTTTTCAAGCGTGAAAATTAAAATCATCAATGAGAATCACTTATGCGCTTACAAATTTTCATTTAAATCATTTCTAAATGAAAATCTTTAAAATTTCTGAAATCTTAAAAACAAACATTTTGCTAAAACAAAACCTAAAAAATGAAAAAAAAGACTCCAACATACAACTTAGCTTTTAAAATTAACCTATTCGGAATAAACATTTTGTCTTTTAAAACAGTTTTTAAATTTAAAATAAATATCCCATGACTTAATTTAAAAAAAAAATGAAGGCTCAATTCCGACCACACCCAAATCGGTTTAATGGAGGATTCGCCATTTTGTCTTTCTTTTAAACGCCTTTCAATTAAAAGCGTAATAATAATTCTAATTTCAGAAGTAAGGGGAAAAATACAATAGAGAGAAGCAAGAGACGAGGCATTGGAATGGATAAAATGGCTTGTAAGCATTAATGGGCAACTCAGCCTGTTTTATTTCCGAGCGAAGTGTTGGAGAGTCGGCCATCTTTTCCCTTCCGAACCATGAAGAAGGCTGAAAACAACAACAACGTCCACCATTGCTAGGCTCAGTATCGGAACCAAGTGGATGCAACAAATACGCATCGGACTTAGTTTAAAATGTTGAAAAAGCGGCACGAAAGAGTTGGAAATAATGGAAATGAGAATATCTCGAAAGAAATCTATGATTATACAAGCGATGAGACTTCAGGCTCAAGGCTGATGTTGTAAGGAGGTAACGGCCATTTTGTTGCGAACCATAGATTTTGCCTTCGGTCAAAAACTATTCTGGAAATACTTCCAAAAGTATTAATGGAGACAATATTCGAACTAAGTGCATTAAAAGAGTTGCTAAGCAACATAAAAATCTTTGTTTACTCACCTTATTGTGCAAATGTTCGACCCGAACGATCACAGTTGACGGCTGCCGTTGAGAGCCCGCGTTTTGTGCAGGAAGGAACAAAGAACGCTGAGGCCAGATATGCACGAGACGCTTTGGTTGTCTGCGGTATATGCGACGGGGCCAAATAACTGAATACACGGGCCTGCGAGGGAAACCACCCAAAACGGCCACCCAATGACGTTATGGGGAAGGGAAGGTTGATGGGGGCCGGAAAGGGCGAATACTGCACACGAAACTGTCCCAACGTTTCGCGCCGATTTGCTATGTGTTTTAAGGGCGACTTACTCAGTTCGCCATATTAGAGCGTCGTAGCGAAAATTTCCTATTTTTAATAAACGGCTTCATTTTCTTTACGCAAAATTTTTCCACTATTCATAACATTTTTATTAGTCAATTTTTATATTTTTTTAAAGATTTAACTAAGTTAAAATAGATTATATATACATCAACATATATATATATATATATATATACACTCTCATACACATTTATATATGTTTACCTATCTATTTATTAACGCTTATCTTTTTTTAGATTTAAGTAAAGCATTATGTATTGTAAGTGTTACATATACATCGCGCATATGCGGTAAATAATCATAGACGTAATAAGTAAAAGCGTTGTACGGATCTATTATATATAATTATTAAACGTGATTGTTAAATGCTTATAGCATTATGGACAAAGTGAAATCTCCATTGCTCCCTTTCTGCAATATTGCCAGACAGTACGCTCGAAAACGCATAGCGCACATGTATTAGCAGTATTGCTTGACATAGCGGAGAGCGTGTAGACTGCGCAGCGTGTCGAATGACACACGAAGTGAATTACGCAATGTTCTATTTGTAGTTTTGCCATTATCGAATGTAAAATTTGCGTTTAATACTTAAAAAAACTCAATTAAAAAATCTGTATATTTTCAAAAATAAACTCGCCTTCCATTATGAAAAAAAAAAAAAAAAGCTAGGAAGTCTGCAAAAATCGATAAAAATAAGGCTAAAACGAACCCTTCTTTTTCGTCTTAATACCGAAACAAATGGTCTTTTTAGATAAATTTAACACCCGAAAATTTTTAGCTTTTAATAATTTAATTTAGAAAAAAAAAAAAACTAAAATCTCTTATGTGTATAAACATATTACATAACATACATAAATACTATAAGCATCGAAAATTTTAATTAATTTCACTATTTTGATATAAAATTTGTATGAGATTAAGTGCTTATTCAGGAACTATAACGCTCATAGTTGATATGCACCATCATCGTTCAGGCCCAGCATGGCGGATTAATCTCTCTTCTCTTCTCGTCATGGACAACACATCATTCCTACTGCATTGCACCATTGCTCTCAACGATCGATATTAAGATTGCTTTTACCCTTCCTTTCGTTCGGCCTTCTCCCTGCGAATTTGCTTTTTCTCTTCTTCTGTTTATAAAATTTAAACGCGCAAAAATGTATTTATATTTTGCATTTTACTGCAAAATTTTATAGAATTAAGACTTATACAAAGCATATATCATACAAATAAAATAATTTAATTTTTTATGGAAATATTTATTGATATTTAACTTTAAAAAATAAAATTATTATTTACTAAGTAAATATTTGAATTAATTTAAATGTTTTTAAAAATTAAATAAATATTATTAATTAATAATATAAAAACTCAAACGATGGAAGCGCATTATTCTAAATTGTTAATTCCTAAATTCTATAATTTTCAATATTTTAAATTTGAGATTGTTAAGTTTTATTTAATAATAACATCTAATTTACAAATGCTTTATTTAAACGCATAATTTACAAAAGATTTTGAAATTTAATAATTATTAATACCAGAATCAAATATTTTAAAATTCATTTTAAAAAATTATACAATTAATGGTCTATTTAAATAATCAAATGAATCAATAAATTCTTTTTAAATTATGAATAACATATGTATTACTATTGCTAATAATGATGGGAAATGTTAGAAAATTTTAAATATTAATTTATTTCAAAAAAAAAAAAAATAGTAGTTTTTGAATTAAGTTTTTATTTTACATAATTTTATAATTATTCAACGTCGATTAATTGAATATTTTAACAGAATTTAAATTACAATTATTGACACAGGTTTATTATTATTTTTTTATTCTTTTAAGTAATGATAGGCATATTTTCATTTANATTTAGGCTATATCAGGTATTTTTAAAGTTTAAAGCAATGATAAAGAAATTTTGAACTCGCTTAAGAATGTTCTTACGGTATTACAGTTTAATGTTATATGATGATCTCTAATAGGCGTACATATGCCACTTCGCCTTAAATTGACTCATATATCGTTATCTCTTTAGCAAATTTATTGATAGTTTGCTAATATAAATAATCGAGTAGTTAATAAAGGCAGAAATAATGATTGTTTTGTTTAATGGGCAACATTGTTTAGTTGTGTTTTGCGGGTCATAAGTCAATACCAACGTAATATAATAAATAATTTATATATTCCACTAATACATAGGAAAAATTAAAGAAAAAACAAAGTAGTTGATTAAAGAATTTAAGCTGTTAAAAACTTTGAATTTAATTATTTATTTGTTAGATTTCATTAAATATTAAGATCAAGTATGTTTCTTTGCTGTCTTTAGTATTATTTGATCATGTTCAAAACTGTTTCGGGCTGAAGCAAGTCAGAATCGACTTTTACTCTCTACATCGATAATGATTTCTGTTTATAAGCAGTTTAATAGCTTATTGATAAAAATATAGAAAACGATTTTTTTTATTAATTTACTTTCTGATAAAACGAAAATAAAATAAAAAGAATACTATGACTAACGACGAATACATTTAATAGAATATAGAAATATTGGCAGGATAAGGGGAAAATCAAATTCATCAATAAATAAATTAATAGAACTTATTACGGTATTATGAAATACCACATGATAATCTCGAATCACGAAAGCAGATAATACTTGTTTTCGTGATTCCGAATTATATATTAATCAAGGACCTAGTATATAAATAGAATTTGCATAAGTATTATGATACAATATATTGTGACATTTTTTAATATATAAATAGTCCAGATAATTCATCAAATGTATGATGACTAATTAAGATTCATCGCACATTTGATGAATCTTAATTAGTCATCACACATTTTAGAATTATTCATATTTAAGATAATATTCATTAAATAATATTTAATACATATAAAATGCAAGAATTTTGAAAGTTTAACCGCAGATCAAATACAGTATATCCTTTAAGATTTTTGAGATATATATATACAGCAAAAAATTTTAATAATAAATACAAAAATAAATGAAAATGTAAGTATAATACTGTATTTTTAAAGTTTAAAGCAATGATAAAGAAATTTTGAACTCGCTTAAGAATGTTCTTACGGTATTACAGTTTAATGTTATATGATGATCTCTAATAGGCGTACATATGCCACTTCGCCTTAAATTGACTCATATATCGTTATCTCTTTAGCAAATTTATTGATAGTTTGCTAATATAAATAATCGAGTAGTTAATAAAGGCAGAAATAATGATTGTTTTGTTTAATGGGCAACATTGTTTAGTTGTGTTTTGCGGGTCATAAGTCAATACCAACGTAATATAATAAATAATTTATATATTCCACTAATACATAGGAAAAATTAAAGAAAAAACAAAGTAGTTGATTAAAGAATTTAAGCTGTTAAAAACTTTGAATTTAATTATTTATTTGTTAGATTTCATTAAATATTAAGATCAAGTATGTTTCTTTGCTGTCTTTAGTATTATTTGATCATGTTCAAAACTGTTTCGGGCTGAAGCAAGTCAGAATCGACTTTTACTCTCTACATCGATAATGATTTCTGTTTATAAGCAGTTTAATAGCTTATTGATAAAAATATAGAAAACGATTTTTTTTATTAATTTACTTTCTGATAAAACGAAAATAAAATAAAAAGAATACTATGACTAACGACGAATACATTTAATAGAATATAGAAATATTGGCAGGATANGAATTTCTTTCGAATAATTTTAATATATTTAATTGTTGATTCATATTATTATTATGTTGTTTTAAATGTTGGTTTCTTTTAAACTATCTGATGCTTTAATAACGATCCAAAAAATATAGCTTTTATTCCTCTGTAGAGATCTCATTTCTCAATACTTAACTTGATGGCAGTCTTTACTTTAGCGGTAAACAGACTAGTCTAGGACATTAAGAACATTAAAATGAGGTAAAAACAAACATCGTAGAGATTTAAACAATATTGATAAGGAACAATGATGACAAAATGTAATAAATTGAAATGTAATGTATATTGTAAGGGTAAATTTTAAAACTACAGTATACTTAATGTGCTGTTATTTTTATTGAGATTAAATGAATAAAAATATTTAAGAAAATACTGTATTTTTAAAGTTTAAAGCAATGATAAAGAAATTTTGAACTCGCTTAAGAATGTTCTTACGGTATTACAGTTTAATGTTATATGATGATCTCTAATAGGCGTACATATGCCACTTCGCCTTAAATTGACTCATATATCGTTATCTCTTTAGCAAATTTATTGATAGTTTGCTAATATAAATAATCGAGTAGTTAATAAAGGCAGAAATAATGATTGTTTTGTTTAATGGGCAACATTGTTTAGTTGTGTTTTGCGGGTCATAAATCAATACCAACGTAATATAATAAATAATTTATATATTCCACTAATACATAGGAAAAATTAAAGAAAAAACAAAGTAGTTGATTAAAGAATTTAAGCTGTTAAAAACTTTGAATTTAATTATTTATTTGTTAGATTTCATTAAATATTAAGATCAAGTATGTTTCTTTGCTGTCTTTAGTATTATTTGATCATGTTCAAAACTGTTTCGGGCTGAAGCAAGTCAGAATCGACTTTTACTCTCTACATCGATAATGATTTCTGTTTATAAGCAGTTTAATAGCTTATTGATAAAAATATAGAAAACGATTTTTTTTATTAATTTACTTTCTGATAAAACGAAAATAAAATAAAAAGAATACTATGACTAACGACGAATACATTTAATAGAATATAGAAATATTGGCAGGATAAGGGAAAAATCAAATTCATCAATAAATAAATTAATAGAACTTATTACGGTATTATGAAATACCACATGATAATCTCGAATCACGAAAGCAGATAATACTTGTTTTCGTGATTCCGAATTATATATTAATCAAG